CCGTACGTGGAGTGTTGTGTGTGTGTGTGTGTGTGTGTGTGTGTGTGTGTGTGTGTGTGTTTTAAATCTTAAATAATTTATTAACCATCAACTTTGCAGTGGAAACAATTCTGAAAACCTTTTATGCTAGACTCTATTTTATTATTTTGCAGCTAGGGTTTAAGAAACCATGATCAAAATTTTCAAACATAAAAGCCTATAATTAAGACTCCTAAAGCTGTATTTAGACCACCTGCCGGCCTTTCAAAAATGCTGCACACCTAACAGCTCCTACTGACCTCACTAAAGGCTCTTACTTTTGAAAAATTTGACTCAGGGTCTTAAATATCTGATGATCTTATTTTTCTATTATTAAATTAGTGGAATTGTAGAAGTAGTTGGTCAAGAAATGCTTCCTGAGAATTAAATATTAATTGAATGTGAGATTGAAAAGCGTGAATAGTACTGCTAGCCCATTTGTAATCTCCAATGTGTTTTTGAAAAATGATCTTAACCTCTGGTGTTGCATCAAGCTGTCTTTAGGCAAAGAAGATAACATACCTTTTCGCTTGTTGGCATAAATCACATCTTGCTGGGAGAATCATATCAGATTTCTTTTCAGATGCTTATAATAGAGTGCTTGGAGAATGAAATAACAAATACAGTTAGATGAGATAAAAGGCAATTTTAAGATTCCTTCTTTACGTACGTAACCCATTATCACCAGCGTGGGTGATCGTATAGGAAAGTTGTTACCTTTAGTCAGTCAAATGTCCACTACGGTAGTCTTTATTGAAGTATCTATTTGCCAATCCAGGTAGCTCAGTGTGCATCTTGGCAAAATCCATATAAGAAAAGCAAAATAGTTGTTCGGTCACTCTATTTGCGTATCTAAATCTGTTCACAAAATATTGCTAGATATGAAAGGATTTGAGAGGTTGTCTTTATGTGGCAACAAATTTTTTAAAACTAGACAATTTTCTTTAATTTTACCAAGAAAGAACACACAGAGAGAGTGATACTATTTATAGACATTTAAATGGAAGAGTAACTGGAAATGTGAAACCCAGTACCCAGGGCTGCCACAAAATCATTCATAACTTTCTCTGTGGAAGTGAAATGATAGAACATACTGTGTAGAACAGTGGTCTCCAAACTTTTTTGATCGCGCACCCCTATCAGTACAAAATTTTTGAGCACGCACCCCCTGCCGCGCCGCAGGGCCTGCTCTACCATTTTTGCTGCCCCAAGCACGCACACAAAAAAAAAAGCCGCCCGAATGGCACTGCTCTGGCGGCGCTCCTCCTGCCGCGCACCCCACTGGATCCTCTTGTGCACCCCACTTTGGAGACCACTGGTGTAGAACATTATATCCCTACTATACTAAGCATTACTCATGCTTGCTTTTTTCCTTTTTTCCCCTCCCTACAGACAGCAGCACCTGTCCAAAGAGTCTCCTAACTAAGTCTTGCTCAGCAAATAGCACAACCTGGCTAGTCAAGCAGAACGTATGCAATGAAGCGGCTCAGGGAATAAATGGAAACGTGCCAGTTAAACAATCCCCACGTTCAGCTTCAAGTCCAAAGCCACAAGGTAAGTACAGATGCAAATGCTCTGTTTACATAAGTCATTCTGTGGCTAATTGACCCTGTTTCAAGAGGCAGGCAGGCTTCCTGGGGGGTGCAGCCTCCATTCCCTTTTGAGATTCAGTGGTTTACCTTACAAGTAAATGTCCTTTTCATTGACTTTGGTTTCACCTTGCTTAATTTACATTGGAGACACAGTCAAGCCAGGAAAATGATAGGTTTAGGGTTTAGGCACAGTATATTACCAGTTTGCATATGACACTTCACACAACACTATTTAGCTACAGATTATGACAAAGGTGAATTGGGGCAATGAGTGGGTCAGGCCGGATGAGTTATGGTTTGGTGTACCCTCTGCCAATTGGCATTGAGGGGCTCCCTGAGTCTCATGATAGTTTCCAAAAGGAGTCCTACATCCCTGAGTTGGAAGGATATGATCCTATGTTTAAGCTAGATGGTGAGCAAAACAGCCCAGCTGAGTAGGAGCAGCAAAGAGTCCTGTGGCACCTTATAGACTAACAGACGTATAGGAGCATGAGCTTTCCTGAGTGAATACCCACATCTTCGGATGCATATAGTGGAAATTTCCAGGGGCAGGTATAAATATGCAAGCAAGAGTGAGTAAGGCTAGAGATAACGAAGTTAGTTCCATCAGCGGGGATGAGGCCCTCTTCTAGCAGTTGAGGTGTGAACACCAAGGGAGGAGAAACTGCTTTTGTAGTTGACTAGCCATTCACAGTCTTTGTTCAATCCTGAGCTGATGGTGTCAAATTTGCAGATGAACTGAAGCTCAGTAGTTTCTCTTTGAAGTCTGGTCCTGAAGTTTTTTTGCTGCAGGATGGCTACCTTTAAATCTGCTATTGTGTGTCCAGGGAGGTTGAAGTGTTCTCCTACAGGTTTTTGTATATTGCCGTTCCTAATATCTGATTTGTGTCCATTTATCCTTTTACGGCGGGACTGTCCAGTTTGGCCGATGTACATAGCAGAGGGGCATTGCTGGCACACGATGGCGTATATTACATTGGTGGACGTGCAGGTGAATGAAACGGTGATGGTGTGGCTGATCTGATTAGGTCCTGTGATGGTGTCGCTGGTGTAGATATGTGGGCAGAGTTGGCATCGAGGTTTGTTGCATGGATTGATTCCTGAGTTAGAGTTACTATGGTGCGGTGTGTGGTTACTGATGAGAATATGCTTCAGGTTGGCGGGTTGTCTGTGGGCGAGGACTGGTCTGCCACCCAAGGCCTGTGAAAGTGAGGGATCGTTGCCCAGGATGGGTTGTAGATCACTGATGATACGTTGGAGAGGTTTTAGCTGGGGACTGTATGTGATGGCCAGTGGAGTTCTATTGGTTTCTTTCTTGGGCTTGTCTTGCAGTAGGAGGCTTCTGGGTACACGTCTGGCTCTGTTGATCTGTTTCCTTATTTCCACATGCGGGTATCATAGTTTTGAGAATGCTTGGTGAAGATTTTGTAGGTGTTGGTCTCTGTCTGAGGGGTTGGAGCAGATAACGGTTGTATCTCAGTGCTTGGCTGTAGACAATGGATCGTGTGGTGTGTCCGGGATGGAAGCTGGAGGCATAAAGGTAGGCATAGCGGTCGGTGGGTTTTCGGAATAGGGTGGTGTTAATGTGACCATCACTTATTTGCACCGTGGTGTCTAGGAAGTGGACCTCCTATGTAGATTGGTCCAAGCTGAGGTTGATGGTGGGGTGGAAGCTGTTGAAATCGTGGTGAAATTTTTCCAGAGTCTCCTTTCCATGGGTCCAGATGATGAAGATGTCATCAATGTAGCTGAGTAGGAGGCATTAAGGGGGAATTTCAGGTTCTAGCAGAAATGGGAACCCCTAGGTAGTGAGGTGGGTGGTTGGGTGGGAGAAGAACACTTTATATTGAACGTATTATTCTTTGCTCTTTATTATGCAAATGTGCACATTGAATGGCGGAAGTATATTTCCCTCACTCCCGCCAATGAATTACGTATTCACTTTGATTTGCCTTCTAAAGATAGTTAAAGGGTAACAAGAAAACATTTTACAAATACATCTCTACCCCGATATAACACAAATTCAGATCTAACACGGTAAAGCAGCGCTCCAGGGGGGCGGGGCTGCGCGCTCCGGCAAATCAAAGCAAGTTCGATATAACGCGGTTTCACCTATAACGCGGTAAGATTTTTTTGGCTCCCGAGGACAGCGTTCTATTGGGGTAGAGGTGTATGTGAGAAGCAAGAGGAAGACCAAGGACAGGGTGGGTCCATTACTTAATGAGGAGGGAAAGACAGTAACAGAAAATGCAGCAACAGCTGAAGTGTTAAATGCCTTTTTTTCTTTCTTTTTTAGCAGTGATCAGATGACTAGTATAGTGAACATCAGTGTAAATGGGTTAGGATCTGAGGCTTAAAATAAGAGAACAAGTTAAGAATTACTTAGACGAGTCGGCAGGGCCTGACGAGATACTGAAGCAACTGGCTGTGGAGAGTTCTGAGCCATTATCTTTGAGAACTCATGGATGATGGGAGAGGACTGGAAAAGGGTAAATGTAGTACCTATCTATAAAAAAGAGAATAAAGATAACCCAGAGAATTATAGCCCAGTCATAAAGGCAATGGAGCGAATAATGAATCAGTTTGTAAGCATATAGAAGATATAAAAAAGATAAGTAACAGTCAACATGTATTTATCAAGAACAACTCATGTCAAACCAACCTAATATCCTTGTTTGACAGAGTAACAAGCCTTGTGAAGCAGAGGGTGGGGTGGAGAAGCAGTACATGTGATATAATCTTGGCTTTAATAAGGCTTTTCATACTGTCTCACATGACATTCTCATAAGCAAACTAGGGGAACGTAGCCTAAACACACCTACAGTAACTCCTCACTTAAACGTCCCGGTTAACGTTGGTACGTTGCTGATCAATTAGGGAACATGCTCGTTTAAAGTTGTGTAATGCTCCCTTCTAGTGTCATTTGGCAGCCGCCTGCTTTGTCCACTTCTTGCCGGAGAGCGCTTGCAGCAGCTGTGGTCTCAGTAAGCTGATCTAATTAACGAGGCAGTGTACTTAAAGGGGAAATGCGCATATCTCTCTCTCACACATACCGTGTGTGTGTGTCTGTCTGCGATGTCTCCATTCCTGCTGCCTTGCAGAGTGAGAGAGTTAACCCTTGAGGGCTCAGCCAATTGCTAGTTCATCATTTAGCAGTAAGGGAAATATCCCACCCTCTGACTCTTCCACCTCAACCAAGCTTCACAATCATCATCACTGTGTACCAGTATTAAATTTTGTTTAAAACTTATACTGTGTGTGTGTGTGTATATATATGTGTGTGTGTGTGTGTGTGTGTGTGTGTGTGTGTGTGTGTGTATATATACACACACACACACACACACACACACACACACACACACACACACACAC